CAGGATCTGCTGAGGGAGGAGGGCGTGAGGCACCGGCAGAGCCAGGCCGGCACACGGGAGCAGAGGCCTGCAGGGAGCCACAGCAGTCACAGGCCACTGGACGTGGCAAACGACTGAAGCTGTAAAGCGAGTATGACAGCTTTGTCATTACGCGTAGCTGACCCACAAAAACAAAACACCAGAATCTCTACACGACAGACCCATTTAATGTAAAGAACACGCCGGCTGCCCACGCCCAGCGATTGTACACGGGAGTTTATTCTCAGTTCCTCTTCCTGTGTTTAATCGCCAGGGTGTGGGCCGCGTCCAGCCCTTTCTGGCTCCACACACACCGGCAGCGTTCGGATAACTGAAGGGCCACGGAGGCCACCTCTTCCTTAGCAACCACCTCAAATCAGACAAAACAGCAGCGCCGCCCTTCCTCTGCAAGGGCCACCGCCTGCACTCAGGCAGGAAACAGCCCAACGGGGCGGGGGGAGCCCGACTCACCTTGGAGCACCTCCATAGGCAGCACGGTCCAGGCGTTCTCCAGGTAGGAGATGTAGATGTAGCGCGCCGTGTTGCAGGCCAGGCCGATGTACAGAACCCTGGGGACGCAGAGGAAAGTGAGTCGGGCCCGGGTGTAGGACACAGAACATGCAGGCATCGCTTCTATTTTCCCTGCCCAACCACCCATCACCCAGACAGCCTTCCGGGCTTAGCGGGGGTGGGGGTGGGGGAAGGCGAGGGGTTCTCGGGAGTAAGAGGGTCGCTCTGACATATCTGCCCTGGCCTCTCCCACGCTGGTCGGATCAAAGGCGAACATCCCTTCCTGAGCTCCACCAGTGCAGGAGGAGGGCCCGTAAGCTGGTCCGGGCACCCCGCCATCTGCAGTGACGGCCGGCTTCCTTCCGGGGCTGGAGGGGGCACCCTCCTGGGAGGAACGACACCCCCCCCCACGAGGGGAGGGAGCTCCTGGGAAGGAGAGCGTGACTGGACGTGGCCTCGCTGGCGATCCCCGAGACACCAAGCCGTCTCACAAGGACACTCTCAAGGTCGCCCAAGCCACCAGCCGATGATGGAGAATGACCTTCAGAAATCAAATACTTTTTCCTCTCAGCTCCCTGTTTATGTTTTAAAGCATGAGGTCATGTGCTGCCTTCCCCCTCGCAGTCAGCACCACCGAACCACGGCTGAGAACAAAACAGGCAAAGCCACAGCGGTGTGTGTCCACGCATCTAAGGTCACGCGCGCGCTCTGAGCGGGGCGGGCTGCTGCTCTGTACAGAGCAGCCTGATGGCGGAGATCTCCCTCCTGTTGCCTCCCGGTTCCCGTGGGCTTTCCTAGCCTCAGTGCGTTCCTTGTTTTCTAGATTCAGGTGGGTGAACACTAGAAGGCAAAAGAAAGAAACCAATCTGACAGTGAGTGGTACTGTCCTCATCTCTAGCGCTCAAGTACACTTTTATGTTGAAATCATTCCTGTACGTACGGCCCTTTTCCAGACATCGGATCAGGGGGAGGCGATGCGCGAGGCTCCGCTGGTGTTAACTGCAGAGCTGGGACAGGAGGGTGGGAGAAAGAAAACAAAAAAAGAAAGAGAAAGGTTGAGGGCTGGGATGGGATAGGAAGCGGGTGAGGGACCGAGGAGGTCTCGGTATTGGGAAGGTCTGGGTTACAGTCTGTGGACATGATGTTCTTTGTACGTGTATGTTTTGAGGGAAAAGTGTATGTCTGAGTCCTCTCTGATAGAACATCTGTCCAACACACTTGCTAACGATCCATCAACCAGGGTCCCTCCAGGACATAAACAAGCAAAAAAGCCCACGGGAAATTCAATGCAAAATACGCCACACAAGTTACACACGCCCGCGTCTCCTCACGTCCTATGCCAGCCCCGTGCAGGAGCCCGACGTAGCCTGACTCGACAGCAAACAGTCCCACGCGGGCCACGCAGCCGGCAGGCCAGGGCTCTGGGCCTCCTCGACCACGCGCTCTGCTGGGTGTGAGAGCAGCCACAGACACTGTCAGTGAACGCCTCGCTGGCTGTGTGTCAACAAAACCTGAATTACAAACGCCGACATGTAAACCTCACCTGACTTTCACGTCACAAAGTATTCTCCTCGTGACTTCTTTCAACCCCTTCAAAGTACAGAGACCATTACGGTTCCTGGGCCGGGCCATTCGGAGACAGACAGAGGCCCGACGTATCCATGGCTGCGGCTTGCCAGCCCCGGCCTGGCTCGTCCCTTCTCCTTGGCTGTCGGCCGGGTTTGCTCAGTAACTGTTAGAGCCACAGGGGTGGAGGCCCGGGCGCCTTCAGCCAAGACCTCTGGGCCCCGGGCACCGAGCTTCGAGCTCCGAGATGAGCCGGTGCCCAGCGGGGGGACGACCACGGGGTCGCCCTCCCAGGCAGCTCGCAGTAATACTTCCCTAGATTCCCAGCATAAAAAAACTGCTAATACACCTTCCTTGTGTCCGCACCGCCTCTCCCCACCGTCCCTCTAGGCCCAATCCTGCGTCAGGGTTACCACGACCACCGCTGTTCAGTCCAGCCCGGAGGCCCCGGCCTAGAGTAGCCGAGCCCGCCAGCCAGGCTAAGGGTCAGATTGGGCTTCGCCTCCAGACCCTGCTGCGTGCCCTTCAGCCGCTGGGGCCTGACTGCTGGGCCCGGGGCCTCCAGGGCCGCTACCAAGCCCGCAGCTCCGAGTCGATGTGCCCTCACTCCGTCCCACGTTCTGATCGCGGCTGCAGCCCCTCAGGACCCACGCGCCTTAGGGAGCAGACGCCGAGGAAGGAGTGTCCGGCTCGTCCCTCCCTCTCTCCCAGCCCCGTTCCCCGGGTCTAGGAGGGGCGGTGACGACTCTGCCCGCTCGTTCAGATCACCGTGGCCCAGGGAGTGGCCCCAGGTGAGCACTCAGCACATGGCAGCCTCCTTATTGTCGTTCTTATTGTAAAGCAGAGAAACCAAGGACCCTCTTGTTTCCTGGAAACATTTTATTCCAGAATTTCAAAACAGAGAGGCGTCCTCGCGTTCTCTCCTCGCCAGCCGTCCGGGGACCGTGACTCAGGAGGTCGGCCATGACTGTGAGCGGGGAGGGAGGCAGCGTCCTGCCCTGTGACAAGGGAAAGGCGTGGACATGCATTTATTGAGCGGCCACTGAAAAGTATCGCAGCGACCTACGAATCTCTGATATCCGAGCGGAATATTTAAACCGCCACATTATTCACTGTTCTGGGGTGAATTGTGTGTGCCCGCCCCCACGAATACAATTATATGTTAAAGACCCAAGTCCTAAACCCCAGCACCTGTGAGTACCTGTATCTGGAGAGAGGCCTTTAAAGAGGGGGTCATGCCCTGGCTGGTTTGGCTCAGTGGATGGAGCGTAGCCTGGGGACTGAAGGGTCCCGGGTTCGATTCCGGTCAGGGGCACATGCTGGGTTTCGGGCTTGGTCCCCATTTGGGGGGCGTGCAGGAGGCGGCCGATCGATGATTCTCTCTCATCATTGATGTTTCCATCACACTCTCTCTCTCCCCCTTCCTCTCTGAAATCAATAAAAATATATTTAAAAAAATACAAAATAAAGAGGGGGTCATGGCAAAATGAGGGCAGGTGGGCAGAGAGACCACTGCCTGTCCCTGGAGCGTCCGGGGCACCTCGGTTACAAATAACTGGACAATGAAAGGGAAGAGCATAACCGGAGAGGGAACGGACCCAGGTTGACGGTAAAGCCGCAGGGGCGTGAGGGCGGGGTCCTCCCCGGAATGAGGCGTGTCTGCAGCACAGTCACCCCTCCGCCGCCGTGGCCCTGGAAGATGATGCCCTGTGGTTTGCTGCAGAAGGCAGCAGAGTACCTCCCTCCAAGCTCTTTAGAAAGCGATTAAAATATAAGCTTTAGGCCTTCTGAAAGAATTACATTTTAGTCTAGAAAAGTCCCTCGTTTCTCATACCCACCCCCTCCCCCAAACAGCCCCAGGATGCCATGTGACTGCAAAGGTCCCGTGGGTGTCCCTGCCCCTCCAGCAGAGCAGGCTGCAACGCTCCAAGATCACTTGTCCCACCCCCCTTGTGTCCCCTCGTGGTGGCATCTCCTGCCATCCTGTGCCCCACTCGCAAGCCTGGCTGGTTTAAAAGGAGCATCACTGCCCGGCCGGCGTGGCTCAGTGGTTCAGCGTTGACCTGTGAACCAAGAGGTCACGGTTCGATTCCTGGTCAAGGCACATGCCCGGGTGGCAGGCTCTATCCCAGGAGGCAGCCGATCCAAGATTCTCCCTCATCATTGATGTTTCTATTTCTCTCTCCCTCTCCCCTGCTCTCTGAAATCAATAAAAAAAGTATCTATTTTTTTTTAAAAGAACACGGCTGGAATTGTCTCAGCTGCCGTCACGGCACCGTCTCCTGCCTCGATGGTAGCAAAGCAGCCAGTCGGAGGGAGACGTGGCCACAGGGCCAGCGACCGAGCACCGAGGGGCTGGGACGGCCACGCCGCATGCCCAGAGCGGGCGCCTCGCTAGACGTAGCCGAGCGGAGGGCCTACTTCTCCCTTTTCCCAAGACATGCCCTCTGCCCGGCACCTCTCCCTGTGCGCGTCCCCGTGTCAGGAGCCATCCCTCCAGGGGACCTCCCAGGGCTCCCAGCGTCACCGGCTGCCTCCCGTCCCTCTGTCCCCGTTTCCATCGGTGCTGGTCACAGCTGCACTCACACACAGGGGCTGAGTGCCCGGGGGACAAGGCTGTGCCTTCCTTATCTCGGCACTTAGAGGAGCCTGCCTCGCTCAAGTACGCCGTGAGAATACAGCAACATCACGTAACATAATCTCAACCAAGCTGATAAACGATGTCGGCAAAGAGAAGAACTGTTCTCTTCAAAGGGCATTTCTCACGTGGCCACCAGGATTTTGGACGGGATGACTCTTTTCCATGGGGGCCCCCCATTCACTGCGGGCTGGACCCCCTGCGTGCTGAATGCCAGTCTCTGAAACAACGGGAAATGCCCCCATACATTCTGCACACCTGCTGTTGAGAACGTCTGGGTAATCTCTGAAAACAGTGTCTTCCTGGTCGTAGTATCATAAAGGGTGTGTGGGTGGGTGTGTGTTTCCATATTCTAGTTACGTTAGCACATAAACACACCGAGAAGGAGATAGAGACCAAACCATGATTGATGGCTATCTTGGAAATTTCTGGTTACAGGGCCCTTCATTGTCTAGAGAATATATTTCTGTAGATTTTGAGTTTGTATACTGAATTATATACTTTTTCCCCCTATGTGTGTTTTTATTGATTTCAGGGAGGAAGGGAGAGGGTCAGAGAGATAGAAACATGAATGATGAGAGAGAATCACTGATCAGCTGCCTCCTGCACAGCCCCTACTGGAATGGAGCCCACAACCTGAGCATGACCGGGAATCGAACCGTGACCTCCTGGCTCATAGGTCGACGCTCAGCCACTGAGCCACGCTGGGAGATGGTGAGATGGGTGGTCCACAACCACAGAAGCCACATCCACTGGGAGTCAGCCCTGCTCTTTAATCAGTGAGGGCCTCGGGCCACCAAGCAGAGGAGAAAACGAGCCAGTATGACACTGATCACTGTATTCCCCCGACCTACTCACTTGCAGCTCCTGCCAACAACGGCCTTTTGTTCTGAACTATGAATAGCTCAAGGAACAGTAAGGCTGTTCTCCACTCAGCCTAGCAGCCATGACATCATACGGAAACACATTTCTCTGCAAAGATGTTCTTTCCAACGGGCTGCAAAAAACAAATCACACCCTTTCAGTTCTTGATCATAACTTCTATTTTTGAGACTCAGCAGCTTATAGTTTAATAATGAGACTCTACACTTGAAGTAGCTCTAAGCGGCTTTTCCTAAACAAAGGAATATCAACGTCACTGCAGGCAAAGTGGGAAAGGCACAGAAAAATAGAAATCTACCCACGTAGAAGTAAGGACAGCCGTCACTACCATAACCTGTGCGCCAACGACTGCAGAGACGGCAGCTCACCGCCACGGAGCCCTCACAGCGGCACCATGGAGGACGTGAACGGTCGACAGCGTCATAAATTATCGGGGAGGAAATCCTAACTGGCCAAGATGTTTTTTGAGGGGGGATGTTAGTTATTTTGAAATCCACAGACATTTTAACTCGGCAGCCTTAACTATTATACAGTCACTGTACTTTCATCAAATTCCATGGGTCTTATAGTCACAATCAGCATAATATATCGGAAGACTGACAAAGTAATAGCAAAAAAATAAGTAAGTAAAAGGAACGGCACCTACTATACGCCAGGCACTGTCTGAACAGCTGCTATGCTTCCTCTCACGCGGACCTCATAAAAAACTAGGGGGTAGGCACCGTGACGCTCCCTGTTTACAGATGACAAAACAGGCTGGTGTGCGTGTCCCGGCCTCAGGCTCGTGTGCAGAGCCAGGCGCTGGCCAGGCAGCCTGACGCCACGCCCCGCAGTGACCACCTTTCAGGAATGAGCACAGGAGCTTGCTCTTCCCACGCTTCCTTCTCCCGTCTGTTCCTTTCCCTCCTCTTCCCTTGGCTTCCCTCTCTCCCTTGCTGTGTCTTCAGCCCACGGACACTCCCAGAGGCCTGGCTCAGGGGGCAGCACCGGAGCGAGACGTGGGCCTGGGGACAGTAAACAGGGTCCAGCATGATCCCTCGTAACAGAGCACGCTTACGTCTGAGGGAACTCACTCCAAGCAAGAGAGCACAGGCCACCATTCCAATAAGACCAGGAATGTGAGAAACAACCGTAACCGGCCTTCTTCAGCCCGTTTCTCTTCCTCCGCGGTACCTGCTCGTCATCCTATCCGTGTTCCTGGGGGAGACCCGTGCCCCCAGCCCTCACCTCTCCATTAAGCTCCAGGCTGATGACCGTCAACTGTGCTAGACATTCCCGTCTGGACGGTCCAGCTTCGAGCTCAACAGCCCCAGCGCTGCCTGCGGAGGCCTCCCCAGTTCTGAACCTCCTGAACTTCCTCTTGGACCCAGTGGAGCCCGCGCTGAAGCGTGGAGGTCTCTACCTCACTTTCTGAGTCCAACCCGCTCTGCCAGCTTCACCTCCACACCCCTCCCTTCCCTCGGCTTCTGCTGCCCCCGCGGCAGCTCAGGCCCTGTCGCCTTCACTCGGCGGGCTCCCACTCACTGCCACTGAGTGCAAACAGTGAGGTCCGTGCCCTCCCCTACTCTGCGCCGTGCTAGGGTCCCTCCTGCCCCAGGATACAGTGCCTGTTCCTCCTTCCAGCACCCACCTGGCCTCAGGCCCCTGGTTTTCCAACCCCCCCTCCTAGTGCTCATCTCTGCGTCCTATCAATGGGGTCCTCTCAGCCTACATTCTTCAAGCCTGCCTTGAACAAACAGGCAGAGTTTGATTTTTCAACAGCACGGAGTAACCCTGGCTCCTTGAGAGCACGTGTAACTAATAATTTCCAATTCACTACGAGAACGAAGTCTTTACACTGTTTTTATTGTGGTGAAAGTTGTGTGTAAGGAAGAAATCACATTCCCTTAAGAACTGGAAGAAAAAAGGGCTGGTTCAGGCCACGATCTTTCTGTCTCTTAATCAGGAACGGCGCTCGGCAGCCTGGGCCACATAGGGAGCCACTAGGGATCCTTGAAGTCTGAGCGCCTGGCGCACCCGTGGGGGTCGGTGGGAGGGTCCGGGTGCCAGGAGCTGTGAGGTCCTGGTGGGCCCGCTGGGCAGCACCCGCCCGAGGGAGCCCAGGCGGAGGCCTGGGAGTCAGGCCCGAGAGCCGGTGGGTCCGGGAGACAAATGGCACAAAGAGGGGGTAGAAACAGGGAGAGAGGATGAGAAACAGAACTAGAAGAAGACATTCTAACCACGGCCTCTCAGACCTGTCAGGCAGTGCAAACCCCGCCTTCTCCACGCACCTCCCCGAGCCCAACTGCGCTTCCTCCTTTGTGGTCTGACTGCCTTCCTCGGGGAACACACGTGCACCCCTGTCCTCTATCGGGGCTCCTGCAGGCCCCAGAAAGCCGGCATGCTCCTCCCTGCCGGTGTGCATCCTGTGTTTCCTGCCGCCCAGCCGCCGGCTAGCTCACGTGGGTACGTGGCTCCTCTTAAGTATAACTAACGGCGAGTCATGGTTCAGTGACCACGAGGGGGTCAAAGGTTTGAGAAAGAAGGGATAGGGCACAGCCTCCCAAAGCGAAACCAAACCAAACATGAAAAAAAAAAGTACAGCTGTTTGGGGAAAAGAATGGTTCTAGGTTGAAAATTTAAATGATAACATGTTCTCTTCAGTGAGTAAAAGGGACATGAAGAGAAGAGATCAGGGTTTCTCAAGTCTTGTCCGTGTCTGTTTCTCCTTCCTGATTTCTCACAGGAACAGCAGGTGCGGAGACTGCCCTGCACACGCGGACGCACACAGTCGCCTCTTCTGTTACGGCAACTCCCAACGTTAGGAGCAGCCGTGCCAGACTTGCCTGTGAGGTCAGAGCGCCTGGCGTGGGGCTGGCTCCTCCTTGCAGAGCCAGTGACGAAGCAGGACTCAGAGGGCAAGCACTGCCCCATCCACTCCAGACCGACACCAGGGGGAGAAACAGCACTCAGAGGAGAACCAAGCATTTCGGTTTTTCAGCTGAAAGGGTTCCATGGAGCATTTAGGGAGGAGGAGGATGTGTGAATGCCCCATGTGTTCGTGGCAGATAAAAACACAGAACCTCATGTCATAATCAGGAAGCTCTGATAGAAGCACTTTCCTCCACGAACTCGCAGGAAGTGGGGGTGTGGGGGCCACACCACAGCCGATTGAACGGAGCAGACATCTATACCCCAGGCCAGTGGTCGGCAAACTCATTAGTCACCAGAGCCAAATGCCAACAGCACAACGATTGACATTTCTTCTGAGAGCCAAACTTTTTAAACTTACACGATATAGGTAGGTACATTGTTATTAACTTAATGAGGGTTCTCCTAAGGCTTAGGAAGAGCCACACTCAAGGGGCCAAAGAGCCGCATGTGGCTCGCGAGCCGCAGTTTGCCGACCACGGCCCCAGGTGGTCGAGGTCTGTGTGTCAGCAAGTGGCCAAGAATCACCGAAGGCTGAGAAAACAGAACGCTCTTCATCCCCTCCCGCCCCCGCTGCTGGTGCCCGCGATGGTGGGCCCCGGAGGCCCGGGGTGACACGCTCCCGCAGCTGGTGCTCCCACAGCTGGTGCTCCCAGCCTCGGAGCCCTCACTCCCAGGCTCCTTGCTGAGAGCACGCAGCATGTTCTGCTTGTTTGTTTTAGATAATCCAGCGAGGCTCCCTCCTTCCTTCCTTTCGTTTCTCTCTTAAAGAGAAAGCAACAGAAAGCCCTGTTCTCACCCCAACACACATGATCATATCCACCCTGTGACCACAGGAGCTATAAGACCATGGAAAGGGAAGGTCCGACGCCCCAGGAGCTATAAGACCATGGAAAGGGAAGGTCCGACGCCCCAGGAGCTATAAGACCATGGAAAGGGAAGGTCCGACGCCCCAGGAGCTATAAGACCATGGAAAGGGAAGGTCCGATTCCCAAGGAGCTATAAGACATGGAATGGGAAGGTCTGATGCCCCAGAAGCTGTAAGACCATGCAGCAAGGTTCCTACCTGATGTGGCCGATCAACTCAATGAGCTTGTGACTGAAAAAATAAGCCGTCAGCTCAGACACGTGACTCAGCACGGAGCACACCCCGAAGAGGGTGGTGGTCCCGTTCAGGTCCTCCAGGTGCCAGTAGAGGAAGGTGAACACGAAGCCGTAGCCAAAGCCCATGAACCAGGCCACGAAGAGCACGGAGCCGTACTGCACGCTGCACAGCAGGCGGATCAGATCCCAGAAGCTGGCGGCCTGCGCGTGGCTCGCGGCGGGCACCTCCTCGGCGGACTCGGTGGGGCTGCCTCGCTCCACCGGGGCGATCTCCACCTCCTTGCCTCGACCCTCGTCACTTTTGAAGTGGTTGTAGCGGAACCGGAACTGAGTGGCCACGATCAAGGCCATGGTCATGAGGACCCCGAAGACGATGAAGACGATCTGGTAGTTGCGGTACTCGGGGGGCCGGCACCCCTTCCCGTGGACGAGCACCTCGATGTGGGTGTAGTCGATCCCGATGCCCACGGACAGCATGGCCAGGCCCCAGCCCAGGGAGCCCCACATGCGCTGCAGCCCATAGCGGTCCCTGTGTTTGCCCAGGTACTGGAGCGTCACCGTGTCCACAATGGTGACAGAGGAGGCACTGAAGAACTCCCCGATGATGACGACCACCAGGATCACCAGGAAGATGGCTTCCACTTCTTGCTGGTCGTAAAGCAGAGTGACCTGGTCAGAAGGTAAAGACCTGGTGGTAGTGACGATGGTAGTGGTGGGCTCTCTGGTGACAATCCCCGGGGGGGCAGGGGCTGCCGTGCTTGGGATCAAGGTCAGGTCCTTGCTGAGGTCTGTCACGTCCTCAGTCTGCGGCGGCAGCGTGCGCGCGCTGGTCCTGTCGACGGCTGTTGGGAAGGTGAGAGGCTCCGTGACATTGGGTCCGGTGTCTCCCGCCACCGTGGGCGTGGGCCCACTGGCAAGGAGCAGGCCTCTCCTCTCTCGCGGCCTCGGTGGCAGTGGCGGTGTCACGGAAGAAATGAAGGAGGAATTCGCTGGCAGGAGGGTTAGCAGGTGACTCGCGTTGGCAGGGCGGGCCGTTGGGGGAGTCTTTGGTACACACCTCAAAGTCGCGGGTTTGACGAAGCCGATGCCCAGATTGAATAAAACCCAGCACAGAAGAGAAAAGAGGAGGACAATTTTGCCCTTCTTAAAGCGATCCGCAACCACGCCCCAAAAGGGGGCGCTGCAGAACTCAATGAAGTAGCGGATGCCCACCAGCAGCCCGCTCTGGCTGGGGGACATTCCCAGCTGCTTATAGTACACGGGCAGCAGGGGGTACAGAGAGCCGTAGGCGGCGTAGAAGAAGAAGTAGAAGACCTTGGAGATGAGCAGGTCGTTGTTGATCTTCACGCAGTGTCTCTCGATCCAGTCCACCTCCTCCTCGGGAGGCGCCTGGGTGGC